CTTTTGACAGCAATGGACGTCCCAACGACATGAACCTCCCTCAAATAGCATGTTTACATATGCAACAAATGGATTTTCAGGTGCTGTGCTAACGGTCATTAATTGCTGTAAGCTTGCCCCTGAACAAAAAAATGTCACCTCTTGCAACTCAATCTTTATCAAAGCTTCCCAGCAAAAAAAAGGCCATATTCCCTAGCTTTGAGTGTCCTATCATGATTGTGTATGACCATCCAGAGACATGTGATTCTGACTCATGCTAGATGTAATTTGAAATGTTATGTGCTGAATCGCAATCCTACGAGCACAAATCCATTTAACCTTTATGAAACGCACACATACATTTCAAAATAAAGAGCGATGAGCTCACCTTTGTTTCAAATGTCTGCTGCTGCATAACCCAGCAGTCTCTGAGGCACTTCGTAAGATTTTCCGTGTTTTCCTTTTCAGAAACTTCACTGATGCCCATCTGTTCACTCAACCTCTTCAAGCGTTTCAACAACGGGAAAAGTGGACCAGCTGATATCAAATTGTTCTGCAAATAATTTGAAAGTCAAGCAGCTCGTGACTCATTTTGTTTACTCACGCGCGCTTTGAGATAAATATTGCCTTATCAGCACAAAAATGTGAACGAGCTGATAGAGCAGCTAGGCGGCAAACAATAACTTGTAATGAGTTATAGCTTTTATATAAAGAAAAGCGAATGCGTGGATTAATGCTTACCTGTACAAATTTGTCCACAAATTCTTCGCTGGCCATATATAATGGATTGTGGTAGAAAGCAAGTAGGTTTTGCTCTGTGAGAAGGCCATGTTTATCCTTCTCGTAGTGTAGTTTGGATAATGACGGATATAGAGGAGGGGCATCGGCAATTTGGGGTTCGTGAATGATAGGTTTACTCTATAAAGGAGAGATTACCTTGGAAGTTCTAGAATTAAGCAGACCAGGTACCTTTTGTGAATCGCTTTTCAAAATAGCCTCGTAGCGCGGTGGTGCTAAGGTACTTGTATAAGAAGAATTCATAGTAGATTCAGATAGTTGTGGAATTGTTGGGTAATTGACCGCTTCA